CATATAAGACACTTTTTGAAAGTGATTATCAGTCTGCAGTGCTCTGAAGCCCAGATTCACAAGGAGGGAAAATTAGCCTTTATAACCAATTTAGAGCTCTATGTTATCTGAATTTATTGATTTATTGCATAATATCTCTGTTCATTATTTTTCTGTAGGTTGGGGAAAGGCCTGCAAAAGATGAGTTTTGCCCTCCAGCATATACTCCCTATGAGGTCCCACCAAGTTTTTATCGATCTGCCATGATACTCAAGCCACAGCTAGGACTGGGTGCAGTGTCCAGGTTGCCATCTGCAAAAAGCAGGATTCTCATTGCAAGTCAAAGATCCTCAGGTAGTTGTCTTCATCAGCAAGGAGAAATAACAAGTGCTCCCAGCCTCTATCAACCCAATGCTTCAGGTAAAGTACGAACTCACTGTCCTTTCCTTTGAGAGTAGTTACTAATAAGATTTTTTTTCCAGACAGAAGTAACACAAAATAAGCAACATCTTGACCTGATACTACAAAGCTCCAACAGCACTCTTTGAGGTATGTTTTTCTGCACTGAGGCAAGGCTGACTAGGGAGTCTGGGACTTGCACAGAGATTGTTTAACAGGTCATTGTCAAAGCGGGAGAATCAATTTCAGTAATAATTCTCCTTGTGCTCTTTTTTAATCTCCTTCCTCCTTGTACATGCCTGAAAAATCCTTGTTTTTGTCCTGCAGAAGATAATAGGACATTATCCAAGACCAAGTTGTTCAATCTGAATACGATGATCCTCACAATGTTGTGGTCTGAAAGCCTGAACAGTGTTCAAATGTGCCAGCAGAGACCCTGATTCTCTGAAGCTCTGGTATATGTCTCTTTGGAGACAATTTCTGATACCCTTGTCTTCCCAGCTACTGCCCAGTTCAGCATGACCCTGGGCAGAATTAGAGGGGGGGAAGGAAAGCAAAAGAAGAATCAGAAGTGTGTGATGTCACAAGACAGAGATGGTTACTTCTACAGAACACTCCTTGGTAGCCTGGAAAAGCTTGGAGGTTTTAAAAACATGTATTTGAGCAGCAGCAAATTCAGAGACAACTGAAAAATCAGTCATTGGCAGAATGAAGCATAGCAGCTGTTCAACAGCCTACAAGGTTGCAGAGATTTTTAGAACATAGTCATAAGGGATAAAGTTCAGTAATAACTTGGGGTCATACGGTTCCTCCTCTTGCCCCAGGACAGGATTGCTTCTGATAGATGGTTATTTAACCTGTTCATTAAGAACTGTGTATGGTAGCTTTCAATATGTGATCCTGCAGCCTCTGAAAGCAGGCTGCTCCAATGCATTGCCTGCTTTTCAAGTTCAAAGTTTTCCATATTATTTTGCCTAATCCTTTTTGTTGCAATTTACTTCCTTTTCTATCTGGAGTGGATGTGGGGTTTTCTCCTCTCTGGTAGTATTTAAAAACTGTTACGTTCTCTCCCCAGTGTCCATTTCTTGATACCAAGCTGCAGAAGAAGTTTAGAGGTGGAATGGAAATGGGTCAGAGTGTCTTGACTTACCCTGAGAGATCAGTACTAGTCAGTAACACAGAATGCCAGGATTTGAGGCATATGGGACAATCAAGGTTCTCTGTAGCACAGTGCCTCTTGCCACTGTCCTTCACTGTTTGACCCTGCATCTGGAGTTTATCTGTGTTGATGCCATTATCAGAAGCTGACCAGTCTCAGCTGTGTGTCACTTCTGAGACACTCCAGGCTTGCACCAGTAAATACCAGTTCAGCCCCGTAAGTCCAGTTCAGTCAGCACGGAACATGGGGATACAGGTGCAGAAGAAGGCTGGGTCATTTTTTCCATTTAAATGGAAGTGCAAGAGGCTGCAAGTTCAGGATGTAAGCCATTGCATAACAGGAGCCAGTCTGGGACATAGATATGAAAGACATATATGAACAGGACCTATTAATAAATCCACTGTTTTTCCTGAGCCTCAGAAATTAACATTGCCTTGATTTTTATTGAATGAATAAAAATGAATTATCCTGCCTCATTGATGTTTGCAGACATGGCTTTTCCTTAGCTATTCTTTATCTGTATAGGAACTGGTCTTGTATGTGTTAATTTGCTGTCTTCTCACATCAGGTGACATTATAAATTTAACCAGTATCAGCCTATTAGTCCTATTTATTGTCTGTAATCCTGACTTAAAAACTGCCAGTGAAAGAGAAACATACCTGAGGAAATTGCACTAGCTGTTGATGTGATTCTTATTCCACTAAAGTTCCTATTCCTAAAGTTGCCTGATTCTCAAAATTTATTGTTTTGGTTTGTTTTGTGTTTTGTTATTTGTTTTTGTTTTTTTTTTACCTTATCACCAATTATTTCTTGGACCTTGTCTGCTTCCAAGATCAAATTTAATTTGTAGCTCTCCATAATTTCTTTCCTGCATCTGTTATTTTGTTTGTATCTCTCTAGTCTATTGATACCTCACTGTTTCAAAGATGCTGTTAAAGAAAACTTGTGGTATTCCAGTAATCTGTCTGCCACCTCTTTCAAGATCCCAGAGTGTGTCTCAACTAGTGTTTGAGCTCTGACTGGTTTTATTGATTTTAAAATTACCCAAGACTTGTTCTGGAGAGGTTGATAATGTCTCCAGTTTTTTACTGTCCGCCCCAGGACACATTGTTTTCACTTCTGGCATCTCACCTTCCATTTTCCTTGCAAGATGAAGGACATGTTTCATTTTTCTACAGCATCTTAGGCTGTTGCAAAGTATTTCCCCTTGCTCTCTTGATTCAATGCCTCTACCCCTTATGCATCTGTCTTGTTTTTCTGATACCTTATATTAGTTACTTTACCTTCTTTCATTTTTGACATTTTATTTCCCAACTATCGATTCAGGATTGCCTTATGATAACTTTTTCCCTGTAAAAAGCCTTTTTACTTTTATACTTTAAATTACCTAATTTTTCTCTCAGCAACATGTAACTTTGTAAGTCATGATACCAGTCTTTTTGTCTTTAATAATTTCTTTTAAGAAGAATTAATTGCTCATAGAAGAGGCTCAAGCCACAGCAGACAGGACAAGACTGACATAGGATTGGAAGGGCAGCAGTGAACTGGTTCCTGCTTCTGTGTCCATGCTGGTGCACAAACACAGACCAGAGATGGGTCCCTGGTTGCCACCAGGGAGGGACTGGATGGGACTGCAATGCCTGGTGTGCCAGAGCTGGTGTGGGGCTGACTGTGGTGCTCAGAACAGGGTCAGACACTATCTAGCCAACTGTTTAAAGATACCTGACACCATTTTCAACTGTCAACTACTTTCCCTTATTTTAGCAGTTAGTGGTGGTATTAAGCTGGTTTTGATGCAATATTTGAGACACAGGATTAAACACAGCTTCAATAGGGTCATAATTACAAATATAATCAAACAAAATCCATCACCATATGGCCAGCATTCTGGAAGGGGTGCTGGTAAGCCCCTTGCTCATGTGTGTTGTTGAGAGTGAAGGTTTGGATGACTGAACAAAGGCAGCTGCCTATTAGGAGGTGTTTTTCTCTCAAGGATACCAAGTCCTGCCTTCAGCATGTCTTGCAGCTCAATCCTGAGCTTTTAATCCAGTTTCTAATCCTAGTGAGTTCAGTCCTGCCCTGGGGTAATGGAGACAGAAGGATCCAACCCGCTGCCATCCCATGACAGTGTGAGGAACCACGGAGGCTTTTTAACTGAAGCTGCCATGGCATGGTGTTGAGGGTAGAAGCAGTGCCTCATAATGAGGATTTTATTCCCCTTTGCCATGCCATTCATAATGCAGCAATCTGCTTAAGCAGCACTGATAAGCTGAGCGGTTTGGCCGATGTATAAGACTAATACTGGTAAAACTGACTCCAAAGTAGTTTCTAATTAAATCCCTGAACTGCTGTGATGGGTTGGAAGGGCTACATTAAGTACATTAAAGGTTTTGTTCATTTTAAAACACACCAAATAGAAAGTAAAACAATAATGGACAAGTGTGCTCTCCAAGTGTGATGCCTAAAATGTGACAGGAACAGTGGTCCTTCTTCATCTGTAGGACATGGCACACAGGTTGGCACTGGCTGCACGTGCCTTATTGAGCAGTGCTGCTCCTTAGGTGAAGCTGTATATCATATGGGTGAGGCAAGAAGCTTTACTGTAAGAAAAAGCCTTCTATACTGTAGATAAGATAGAAAGTCCTTGAATCATGATATAGTTAAAGGTGCAATAGTGTCTCCGAAACCTTGAAATTTTCTTATTTAATGTAAAGTGACCTTGCTTTTCTATGATAAACTTGTAGTCCCAAGCACTGAAAGATACTGTCTTTAATGTATAAATTAGGAATATGTTTCCTTGATTATAAAGATTTATTGGAGCAAGCATGTTAGGATTTGCATTAATTAGCTGATAGTTTTTTTAGGATTAATGTCTGATTTTGAAAAGTATAATGGAGATCTTATCATTAAAACTTCACTTATTTCTGCATTATTCAGTAGTATTTATGGTATTTTTTTTCTCAAAGAGTGAGTTAATAAAATATTGTTTCCTTTTCACCTCTCTGTGTATTAAATGTACCAGTCCTCTCATTTCTAAGTCCACTTTTGTTGAAGATACAATTTATATATAAATCAAGACATCAATGTTTCTGGTTACTCAGGCACACAAAGATAGATGCATTTATTTGTGTCTTTGCATGATAATGTATTGCATCATGAATGCAACAATATGTCCACAGCTTTCTTCTGATTGGAAAGCTTTGCTTTCTTGTTCATTCTCAGGAATACCTAATACTTGAAGAAGTGAGATTTCATGATAGAAAAGGGGGTTTGAGGTTACTTCCTGAAATGTTGCGTTGCTGCTATGCCAGCTGTGTGCTTATTTTGTAGGTTTGCAGTCTAACATACTTAGGTTTGAGCTGGCAAACTTCTTAGTTGTTTAAGGAGGGAGGTGACAAGAGGAGAATTCAGAGATGAAAATGTTCGCTATCCTACACTGATCTGCAGTGTTTTCAGCTGGCACTCCCTGCTTTCTTTGGGAGGGCAATCTGACTGTAAAGAGAAATTAAATGCTTCAAAGGGAGACACACTTCTTCCTCAGGGTTTTGCTAAAGATGTGGTTACCATATCTTGAAAATTAGCCATATGGCACATCTCTCCTCACAACAATTACTGCATCTTCAAAGAACTGAAATGCATTTTATGAGAATCACAGAAGGGCTGTGTCCTGTGTGCATCTTAGTTGTGTGAAATTAAATTGTTGTTTTTCCCCAAGTTGAGCCTGTTTTGCCTGTGACCTTAATCAGTGAAGAACCCTCCTTGTCCTTTGTCTTGACCCATGAGCTTCTAGTTGGATTTGTCCTCCCCATTCCACAGTGTGTGTGTGTGGGGGGGGGGGTGGGAAGCTAAGTGAGTTGCCAC